TATCTTTAGATAATAGTACAATTATCATCTAAACATAAGTTTTAATTTAATACTACATATAGCTCTGAAGAAACCAGAATCAAAATGTGGATTACTTCTGCAAAATGTACATAGTAAATTCTGTTTTTTTTTGGCAGTAACGTGTAAAACAGCTTGTATTGCACAAGTAATAGATGTTCTGGAGATTTTATTTTTGCTTGGTACATGCATACTATTGGCAACACTGTATTAGATTCACATAGTCATTTAAATTGTTACTACAATATCCAGATGGCGCTATTCATCAGACAGACTGTATAAAACTCAGTTAGGAGGCGAAATGTAATAAACGTTATTCGAAATAATTTTCTACGAATGAGAATAATCTATTTCATTCAATTTGCCTTCGTGAATACGATTGGGATTATCTCCTACTTTAGTTTAATTTCAAAAATATGACTTCATTAAAATTACAATTAAATAAACTTGCTGATGCTCATACTCAATGGCAATTAACTGATAGTGAAAATCGTAAACGAGCATCATTTCTTTATGATCCAAAAGTAGCTTCAACACTTGACCGAGAAACAATCTATTGTCTTGGTAAAGAAAATTTTATAATTATTTTTATTTTATTTGTGTTGTTTTTTTTTTGTTAAAGGTACAAATGGTTTTGAAGAACTTTGTTTACTGGATTCTGGTTTTGAAGAATTTGAACGTGTACTTTTCAGTGATACAAGTCTAACATTTGAACGCAGTATTCAAACTAAAGAAGTTAATGATTCATTAAATCTAACTATTCGACGATTTCTTATTCGTCTTTCACCGTATTTTCTTTTGAGCCCAGCTCATAAAGCACTTGAATGGCTTGTACATCGGTAATGCAAAAAAAAGAATTTTTATTTCTCAAAAATAAATTTTCTTTTTAAGATTTTTCATTCATTTTTACAATGTCGATGATCTTATGCGATGCATATTACCCTACCATGAACATAATTATTTCACACGTGCAATTCAAATGTTTCGTTTCAATGATAAGCATAGTGCTTGGAATTGGCTTGAACCTGCTCAAGTAAAATTTTAAATAAAAAAATTATTTTTAAACATTTGTTTTGTTTTTTAGAAAGCTGGAACAACAATATCTGGTATTGTTATGGCTAATCGTTGTGCAACTGATTTAGGATTTTTAAATTTTATTTGTGAATCAACGACAATGGCAGTTCAAGTAAAATTCAAAAAGAGATGTTTTTGATATAATTTAAAAGGATTTTTTCTTGTTAACATTTAGGAATTTGGTTCAAATTATTCATCATTACGTGTAATAATAAATTTTTATCTTAAAACACTATGTTCAACTATATTACATTCATTATCACATAAGAAAAAAAAGAAAAAGAAAAATTCCAATGAAGAAAATTTTATTGCTCAATTTATGCCTTATTTACTTAAAGGTCTTAAATCAAAATGTCTTGATTATAAACGAGCAACATATTTGATTCTTTCAAATTTATCAAATATATTTACATTTCAAACTAATATTAAAGATGAAATACTTAATATTGTTTCTAAAGTAAGACAATCATTTGTGTGATATGAAATATAATCGATGTTTTATATAAAACGAAATATTTTGAAACAAACATTTCTTTCCTAAAATGAAAGTATAGATGAGATTAATACTAATGAAGGAAATATCTCAATTGATACCTAATATTCGGAACATTTCAGGCAAAAAGAATATTCCTGTGAAGAAATATTGAATTTCCAAAAATAAACAAAAATAATTATTTGTCACCGACATATCACAAAAATTCAGTTTATTTGAAAATTCAATATCTCGACAAAAAACACATTCTTTTTGGCTGAAACTTTCAAGATATTCTATAGATTATAAGACCGACCTATGGGTAAAAATTCACGTCGATATTCTGTTTTTTTTTGCTGTATACCTAAAACTGGATAAAAAATTCAGTAAAATAAGATTAACTTGATTCCACAGATCTATCAGGACATCAATATAAGGACAAACGACGGGTATCAGTTCGAATTTCAACTTCATTAGTATTAAATCGCGGAACCCGATGATATTATAATGTTTTGAGAAAAATCTCACAGTAATGAGCAAACGCTTTTGGCTTTATTAAATGGAAAGAATATTTTTCATATCTCAAAATATCATGTTTTCGATCTACTTACAAGGGAGCTATCCCAAGCGGTACTTCACGTTCTCTTCATAAGCTGTCCTTCCGGAGTTATGACCGTTTCACTGAATTTTTTACCTTTGGTACGATACTTATAAGAAAATCGAACAAAAAAAATTATGATCTGAAACTTTGTCTATCAACAGCTCTTAAGACCATTAGAATATTCTAATGGTCTTAAAAGCTGTTGACAGACAAAGTTTTAGGTTAGAATTCGTTTGTTCGATTTTTTTATAAGTACTGTACCTACCAAAAGTGAACAATCCAGTGAAACGACCATAACTTTAGAAGGATAGCGCACGGGGAGAAATCCTTCTAGTCTTAACAGAATCTCCTCAATAAATGGTATCTTATCTCAAATGCGAGATACCAGTCGGAGTAGTCTCCTCGCTAATGGATCAGTCTGTTAAAGCAAAGCATTGATAAATATACTGCTAAAATAGATATTTACACAGAAAATTCTTTACTCATTATGCGAAATTTTATTATTAACTATTGCAACTACGAAAATCGTTTATCTCTCTTCATTCACAATTCGGACCAATTGTTTCTTATAGATAGCTTGTCTATCCGCTGTTGAGTAGTAGGAAAGTTCTTGAATATAGTGTGACACTTTCATCTGATTCCGAACGAATTCTGCATTATATTTCGAGTGACTTGCTGAATTAAAAAATGTTTTTTATTGTTTAATTCTAAAGAAAATTTTTCATATATTGATTAAATACTTTTAAAATTAGGGTTTTTCTGATGATTTAATCAAAGAAAATCTCTTAATTATCTCTGTATTTCTTAACAATCAACATCATCAATCAATACCAGATCGGTTTGTTTAAAATTACTTTCTCTTCGAAAACAAAAAAAAATCGTTTGTTTTTTTTTTTTTTTTTATTAAAGATGCTTTCTTAAATTATGTCAAATGTCAAATATAATTGATGAAATATTTCAATTAACAAATGATGTTCGAATAGATAATTTTCTTTGTGGTTGGTTTGAACAATTACTTAATCATGTTTTAAAAGATAATAATCAAATGGAAACAGATAATGAAGAAAATTTTTCAATATTAATTGAAAAAACATTAAATACAATTAAATTTAATTCAAATATTTTAAAATTTATTATTAATTGTTTTATAAAACAATTTAATAATAATAATAAATATTTAGTTTCATTAGCATCGATTATTGAACGAAAGTAAATTTTCTAGAAAAAAAAAAGAAATTGTTAAAATGATTTGTTTTTTTAAAGATATCCAATTGATTTCGATGATAATATTCGACAACAAACTGAAAATTGTTCGAATAATGAAGAACGAAAACGTATTAGAGAATTTGCATCAATGACAGCAATTGGATTTAAACATCAAGTAACAAAAATATGTAGAAGAAATAGATTATTTAATTTGTTTTTTTTTTTTAGCCATTATCTGATCGTAGTTCACTTGCTATTTGTCTTAATCATCCACAATCACAATTACGTATTGAAGCTCTACAACGAATCCGTGAAGGAATTATAGCTAAACAAGTATTTGATTTTTATTTGTTTAATTATAAAATTAGTTTTTTTTTGTTCATTTAGAATATTGAAAGAGAATTTTTAATTGATGTTCTTATATCACGTTTAAATGATAATGAAGCAAAAGTTGTTAATGAAGCAATTCTTCTTTTAGAAGAATTACATTTAACTGATAATCAACAAATTAATGATATTTTACAAAAGATTCTTCAACGTGAAAATGAAGATTGGTAAGTTTATTGAAAAAAAACTTGAAATCAATTACGATTCAATTTTACACATTAATTCATTTTTCAATTTCTTAATGAAATGAAAAATATTCGTTTTAAATGTTCAAATTCAGTTTTATTAGAATCAAGTATAACACATTGAAATGCATAAAGAAAAGAACGAATACAAAAGCATTTGTTTTTGTGTGATGACTAGAGATATACGGAATCCGGACTACGAGAAAAAAGTTGTCTTAGTTAGTTGTGAAGATTGTAGATAAAGATTCTATATTTTTAAGCAAATTATATTAGAAATCATATCAATCGAAACATAACGCAAAAGTGATGACTCAAAAAGTACTGAGTCGTCAACTAAATATATCAAAAAACAAGTATTAAAGGATGAAAATACGGTTTTCAAGATGAATAAATTTCGATAATAGTTCTGAAGACGTCCTGATTTCGCTTAGCGCATAATGAGTAACTTGTAATCTATGTGCAAAAACCTATTGACAAGTGCAATTTCTTTACAAATTTATGCTCCGCTGTTTTTTGAATAACTTCAAAATGCAAGTAGTTTAAGACCTGCGATTTTCATCATTGGAAAGAGCGAAGTAGCAGATACTAGCTTATGTAAAAATTGATGAATTAATTTATAAAAGTACTCAGTATCTGCGGCTTCAAATTTAATTGGAAATGATAGTAAAATGTTTCTTATTTTCGATATATAATCTTGGAAGATAATTGATTCAAACGTCCGATATACATTAAACGGTGTCTCTGCATCAGTCGAACTCAACAAGATAACATCTTGAAGTTATTCTGTTTACAAAGAGAATAATTTCTAGTAATAAAAAAGAAATCGTAGGTTTTATTACTTTAAAGATTATTTTAGTATATCTTGTTTAATCAATTGATTTTTATGTTGATTTACTTCGTTCATGCAGAGGATGAAAACCACAAATCTCTACCTGCTTGTATTTTGGAGTAGAACCTATTGGATCCAACATTTTCAAACCTGGACGCAAATCGTACTCTTAATTGCAATGAAATATTTACACTTTCTACATGTTTCTTAGACGATCTTGGAGATGATCTTATAATAATCAAGTCATAATTGATTGTTACTTTTAGAGTTAGATCCGGGACCCAATCCGATGGGCATTCGTCTAGAGTCATTAAAAGAAAAAAAACAATAGAGCATATTATATTTCTAAATAATAAAATTTCACAATAGATTTAAATAAACAATTATATTTTAGGTCATCAGTTCAACAATCAATTGTTCGTTTATTAGCACTTGATTCTACGAGTGAAACTAAATATCTTCATCTTCTTTTTCCAACAACATCATCTGAACTTAATTTATTAAATAGTCTTTTAGAAAATTATAAACAACAAAAACAAATATCATCACCATTACTTAAATTAACAAAAAAAATTTTTAAATCAACAACAATCAATAATTTATCGACAACAATTGATCGATTTATTCAATCAATAACAACAAATGATGATCAAAAAAATATACTCGTACCATTATTACAACAATATGATGAAATTTTACGTCTTGTTGAACATTATCGACCAAATTGGATTAAATTTTCTATTATTTATATATTATTAGGAATTGAAATACTTAAACAACAAGCTAATAATGAATATATTGAATTAGCTACAATTATAGTTTTTAAACTATTAAAGAAATTGTCTCAAGAAGTAAGTCAGAGATAAACAATATGCACGAGATAGATCGTTTTACAAAAATTTGTTTTCAATAATTCAACAATTCAGTGTGTCGAATATGGAAGATTTATAAAATTTGATCATAGGAATCTCATCCGTATATTGTATCCTTCCCCGATCCTGGCGGCCTCGGGATACCCCTGACCTCTGTGTAACTAAATGAAACAAAAAAACGCTGTTTTCAAATCCATAAACCTTAATCAAGGAAAGATCAAAAGAAGTTTAATTTTTTTTGCGAATTAGTAGTTTATTGAAGGCTGTATCACGAATCGTCTCAATCCAATGATTTAGTTCTTCAAATAGATAATTTCTATGAATGAGTCAAAAATGATTCAGCAGAAGGATAATGGGCATACGATGATCTACTTAACTTTAGTCTGCATTTAAAAAAAGACTTCTTTCAATATATCTTATAGTATGTTGATGTATACATTCTTTGCCACTAGTAAAGGGTTCCCATATAATAACTATCGTCGGTATACTAATTCGTATAATGTTTGCTATACTGCCGATTTTTTTTTCAAACCGTTGTATCATGGTGTATTATATCAAAAGCGATGAATACTTTTCAAGTCTGTTAAAACAACAGGATTGAGTGGTTTTCAATGCACTCTGATAATGTTAATGTGTACTAGCTAGAGTCTAAATCTGACCCAGTTATAAAATGAATTTTTATTAATAAAATATATTCTGACACTATTTTCTTGTCAGTTATTTTGAATTCTTTCTAATAAATAATTCAAATATGAATCGAAAACACTCTCTGCAATCGTGTATAGCAGAAATCTAAAGTCTTACACACTACTGCCGATTGTTATGAGTGCCACGAATATTGCAAATAAACGTACAACATGAATATCTATATACTATGAGATATAGCTGATAACTTCATACTGCTGAAAGTACATGTCTCGTAGAGTACATAGTAGTTCAACACAATGTTAAAGATCAGTAATGAGAATCAATAATGGTTGTGTGAAATATAGTTGTTGTGTAATTCAAAAGATCGACTCTCTATCATAATAAAAAGATTAAAAGTTTTTGCTAGATCCTACCATTACTAGAAGGGAGATGATTTTTTGAATATAAGAAATGAATAAAAATTAAAATAAGTATTATCTTTTCTTCATTAAAATAAGTCTACACATGTTATTTTCTATTTTTGATATTTCTATATAGATTTCACCAACTAATGATGAATCTACAGAAATATCTGATAGTAAAACTTTAATTGATTTACATGTAATTAAAAAAAATCCATTAACATTAACAAATTATGATACTCTTTGGAAACTATTTATTCATGCATTACCTAAAGGTAAAAATTCTCTCTCTCTCTCTCTTGTTCTATCTGCTAAAATC